ATATGACTGGGTGTCGTAAACAGTGGCGTTCGTGCATCTCCTCAATTTCTCCCTAACCTTAGTCCACTGAACTTTTCCATTTTCCTTTCGAATCCACTCTCAACTTTCCTTTCTTCTCCTATTCTTCATCCCAATGGGCAGCCAAAAGACAGCAACCAAAACCGGCGCACGAAAGTGCATGGTTAATGGTTGTTCAAACTGAAACTGAAAAAAACTGCCCCGTAAGAATAGACACATTGGCCGTTAACAGGAGCTTATTTAATCGCTTTTATGAAAATCGCTCAGCTTCTTTCAGCAGTGGAACAACGAGGATAACTGCGAGCACGAGCTGTTCTCACCGCGCTGAGTCCAATCACCCGGTGCTTCGACTCAACCACAAATTTTTAACTGAGGCAATCAAGAGCACTGAAGCTTAGCGACTGCTAAAGCCGTAAGCACTAGTATTTACAATGCCCCTCCTTGTGTGCACAGAAGAGATTTGAGGAAGCAATTAACTTCCTGTGGTGATCGTGTAACGAGCACGCACGCACCACGGTATAGCATCCAGGTAGCCAATCAGGAAACGGATATTCCGACCAGTCCGGTGGACTCAAGTGACACCAACCGGATTGGCTGAATGCAAGAAGGCAATCAAATGAACCAACTCGTTGTCGATTGGACATTGAAGAATTGACCGATAATTGTTTAATGCTTTTGATATTTATTTGTGTGATTTTCCGAATAGAATTAACTGTATCCATAGCTCGCCTTTGTTCTACCTGACTTTGCGCCGCTATTCAGTGAATTTTCGGTCCGAATCCGAGTTCGCGCTAATCGATTCCGATTTCTATTCTGAATACTACACTTCCCCTGGCTAACTTAATCTTCTCCAATACGTGTGAAACCAATAGAGCACTTTTTATTACTAACATTTTGTGTGATGGATAGTAGACGGAGTGGACCCCACAGTCGTGAAGATTTGCCGTTCAGTGATTGAAACCGGCAACACAGGCCCCAGGACGTCGAGTACCGAACTACATAAGACCGCTAGGTTGGGCATGGTATTGAACCAAACGCAGCAAAGCCGTCTACGGCCAAAGTTAGGTGGCGGCAGCGGGATTGGAATTTCGAACTCTAGAGTCGAGAGCACGTCGGTGACAGCTACTAAAACACTAAGTCACCACCACTGGATTGGACACTGATACATCAAAGACACACGCATATTTGGATCCAGATTTGAATCACGAGTGTAACCTGTCATCACCCTGTTAATGCTGTTAGTTTCATTTGATGTTGTGTGGTGAAACGATTGCCAATAACTGAAAACCAGTTTGTTCGCCTCGTTATGTTGATCTCAATGCGTTCTGTGAATCTAGACAAACATTTGAATTGGAATTGCTTTCTCCCTGTGCTTCGGTTTACGTTTCAGTTCTGTGTGCGTGTTCGTCAGCCCAGTGCCTGATCGAGCAATCGTCACGCAATGTCTATCGACTTTGACATACAGATTGATCGATTTGGCCACGTACAGTGCCTCTCGAATTGGACGTCTCCCCTTTCTCGTATAAGCATACCATTACATTTGCATTGTGGCTCATGCCCCCTTGACCTGTCACTGATTCCACGCGGGTGATTATAGATCAGCACAACAGAGGGCAAGTTTGTACTAACGTAGACGAGCTTATCTCTCTGACATAATGTTGATTGTATTCGGGTCACAAGGTTGCATACAACCAAACACAATTGATCGCTTGGTTCTACATGATCTTTGCCGGTCGATAAAGTCAGTCTCAGTAATGTCGTGTACCAGTGAACGAAAATGCTACCCGAAAGGCCAACTATGTGTAAAATGGTTTCGGATATCTACATGCAAGCATGCATGGTCGTGGTTTCGTTTTGGTTTGGTTTGTTCCTCCACTGTTTTTCTCGGTTGATTTAGACAGGAGTTAACGAAAGCGTTGGCACAAAATAACAGATAATCAATATGATTCTTGTTTGCAAGGTTTATATGCGGTACAATCTGTATCGCACAAAACAAAGTGCGCACCCCTCCCGATTTGAAGAGCAGGGTGATTTCCGGTGTTGGACTTTATTGTAATTGTAAGTATAACTTCTGTAGGCGTAAAGCCTACATTTCTATAAAAATATGGTGATAGTTGTTAGATTTTTGTTTACTTTATTCTCCGGTTGGCATGCGATAAGAATATTGACAAGTATCAGTCCGGGGTTGCTTGTGTGTGTGTGAAGTTTATCCCCATTCTCGCTGCCTTTAAGTCATGGTAGAATCGCCTGAATTATACTAATGACGAGACCACAAATCTGTCTTCTGTGTATCGGATTCAGAGACGAGGGCCAACTATTTAAAATACTGACTGTGCATTCCTTAATCGTTGGGTCTGTTATCAGGATCGAGATTTGTGGTCCCTCCTGCCAGATGGTATACTTTTCCGTTGAGCGATGGATGGGTTTTCTTACAGAAGTCTATCAATGTATTCCAGTAATTCACAGACGATGATACACTATTCATAAAACCAGGGCAGTTTTTTTACTGAGACTCAGATCTTCAATAATGCAACACTTATTCGAACAAAAGCACTGTGTCACTCCACCCTACGCATTCCAGGTCATCTACAACAAAGCAAACACAAAGTTACTAAAATTTGCCGAGGTCCTAGCCATTCATACTCTCAAACCCGATCTATGCAAACAAAGTGAATGGTTAGTCACATTAGCTTTGCCCTGGTGATTGACCTTCCCCCCCTACCTTCTCTCGTCCCTTTTTTGTGTTGTCCGTTGTGATTAGCGATCTTGTCTTTGTCTCACATCTATTATCTTACTGACTATAAAAAATCACTTTGACTGCAGTATGCACGTGTACAGATGCAGCAAAATGATCACGGATACATTGTGCAAACTCATGTTTCTGACTTCTGTGTTCTCCAGGACCGGTTATTTGGGATATTTTCAAATCGTGGTGCCAGATCAGGGATAATTCTTTCACATCAGTTTCAGTTTTCGTCCGCATATTTAACCCAGAAATGAAAGAACAGGACTGGCCATATCATTACGCTGATCTCGGATGTGGATAAGTATATAATAACCAGGAGTTAATCGAGTGGCAGATCGTTTGGAATCCTCGTCAGTGAGAAAATTAGGTTTACTGGTAGGTCTAGTTTGTGTATGTGCCTTTGTAGTCAATGGATCCGCTGAATTTGGTCTCCCTACATTTGACAACCGGGCGTTTTACTTGTTTTTTCTTCTTTCTTAAGATTAGTTAACCGTTTGCCTATTCCGCTACTCAATTCTTTGGTCTGCTGGATCTCCGCTGACCAGTTGATACTCGTCAAAATGGACAACAATTGATATATAGTGTTTCGCTTTGTATAGCAGCTGCAATACTGACGTTAGTAAGAAGGATATCGGTTTCTGTTTTACCGTCGATTTGTGGCTTTAAACGTGTCTTGGACATATGTTAACCAACCTTTGTCAACAGCTCCTGGTGCTTATTTCCCATTAGACAGAGACAGTCAAATTCCAGCTTCCGTGGAGGTGATCAAAATGACAGATCTTTCGTTTTCATCATCCAGTTTCGGCTCCTTCACCGGAAGTAGCGTTTCTCATGCTCCAAGGTGATATATCTGAAATAAATTTCAATGGTTTGCATTAAGCCCCGTCTGATCAGTTTTTCTGTGGTTCACAGCCAGCGTGCGTCTGAGCTCGTTTAGATGACTCTATCTGTGTGTTTGTGTGTGTGCGCTGCTATAATGAATCCAAATCGTACAGTCTTAGTGCTTTTCTGGGAAGGGGGGGATGGCATCGTTCAGCTTTTTCCGTCATTGGTGAAATTGACTAACTCACAGATGTCACGTCTGTTTCATTCCGATCAAAGAAGATTCCATGATGAAGAAAGACCAGGATTCCAATAGTACGGCGATTGCATTTGGTAAAAATAAACTCGATATATGTGTCTTACTAGTGTAGGGTATTAGACAGATTCTGGATACATATTTAGCACTTTTCAGTTGAGACAAATTCAACCTCGCACCTTCGTGCAGTGGTTTTGGTTGCTGTTTTGTTTTGTTTTGTGAGGGGAGGGATGCCAATTTGGGTGAAGGATATGATGAAAAAGTGGAAACATGGACGCGGATTATGGTTAGACTAACTTTGCAACGAAGGTGAGTAGATACGCGAGCTCTGCTATATAAGACACTCAGCCATATCATCTAGTGCCTCTAATCATCAATCGCGCTGATCTTGGGGTTCCCAACCTGGAAGCCTATATTGCCGAATCCCCTGTTTAGGGTTTTCCTATCCTCGTGGCACCTTTTAGTTAGACCATCCTTGACTTTTTTCCATCCACCATCTGCCTCGGATTATATTGCAATCAGAGGAAGCCTATCTGATGATAAGCGTAACACATGCCCAAGAAATTTGATCGCTGGAGGTCAAGTACTTGCCTCGATGAGCGACTACGATCACCAAATAAGCTGTTCTGAATCATGTAATTGTTTTTCCGGTTGCCTCACCAGACCCGAGTTTCGTGATATAGACTACACAGTTAGAATATCTATAGACTGTCTCTGTATGCTGGTCCCTCAACTGTCATATCTGCACAAAAAACATGAGGTGCGTCCCGATTTCTGTAGAAACCACTTGGTTGTGAACATATAAGCTTACACAAGTTATAGAACTACAAGACTCTTCAAGGAAAGGCGAATATCGAGGCAGTGCGGTAGAAGTAACAAACTGTTAAAGTCCAAACAAGCCTACGTTATGCCTGCCGATACTTCATCCGTGATGCATCCGCCAGGTGAAATGTAGCTTCCCGAATAACAAAATATTTTCACCATCCCTGCTGGTGGGAACAAAATAAATCCAACACAGACGGAGCCAGGCGATCACACAGTCATCGGATGAAATAGAAAATTTGAAATTGGCAAGCGGAAGAGACATTTCACACAGAAGGCTTCAGTAAGCAGTTGAATTCGGTCAAAATGAAAAAGATTAGTTATTCATTACCCTGCTTTTTTATAGAAAATTATAACCAATACCAAGATCGACATGCACGTGCAAATATTACTTACTGAATTCAACAACTGCCCACCTCCAGATGCCGGCTCACCCGTTGGATTCGTTGGAACCAAAGGCACCCCGGTGGAACAGTCCGAGGCCACAGCATAGTTCTGCGCTATCCCCGGAGTGATTGGGTTAAGACTGAGTTGTGAAAGGGCCAGTTGGGCTTGATATATTTGCTTTTGGGCCTCCGCATCCTGACCTAACCAAAGATAGCAAGAAGGTGGTGCGGATGTGCCACTAGCTCTGGCTGAACCTACACCCCCGAGAAGCGACCGTGTCAACAGCATCGGTTGCTGTACAGCGGGTGGGCTTGCGTTGTTGATGTAATTCGTAGAATCTAACACTGGATAGCATGTCGAGCAATGCGGTGCGGAACAAGGGAGTCCAGGTAAATATCCCTGAACCTGAGCAAGATATGACTGTACCACAGCCGGATCGTACATAGTTGCAGCCACCGTATTCGGTGCGGGAGTCGTGTTGGATGGTTTTATTGAGGAGTTGGGCATTGTGTTCTCAGCATCGGCTGTGGTCATCGGTGCCTGTCGTGGCCCGGTCATTTGAGGATCTGTCAAAACTGAACTGTCCGGATAGGTGTTCAGTCGCACGGGTTCTGTCAAGTTCTGAGCGGAATGCGTATTTGATAGATTACCGGGGAGTCGGCGGTTGGCTGACTGTGCTCCATCTACACTGGAAACTTTTATTCCCTGTTGGTTTTGTCCACGTGAAGCTTTAGAGCCGCGACAGGCTGTGAGAAAGCAGATAGAACGCGAAGGAAATACAGTCAAAAATGGCATAATAGCTACAGTAATCCAGTCTCTCAGTCAGTCAATAATTGTTTTATGATATCATCCAAAAGTTTCAGTGTTTTCGGAGGTGGGTATCTAAGGCTGTGGCTGGTCAACCTTCCCTGGTACCCCGGGAAATGCTTTTTGATGGCTAGTGGTCTGAAATAGCTTCTGATGAGGAAGTTCTGCCCACCGCATTCATGTGGTGAATGCATTTAGTCACCAAACTGACGGGACAAAAAGCTAGTATCCGGGTCTGCAGCTGGTGAACAACTAGTAGCGAGAAGTTTTCTGAAAACCGTGATTCTAAAAAATGAAGTAGAGGCGTAAAAGTGACACCCACATTGGATGTTTGTTCATGTCCAAACGGCGCATGATCCACTGAATTGGATATAAGCCTATAATGATACACGGCTTGCACAAGGTGCTTTGTGGGCCAGATTTTGCATATTCGAAAACTTCAGTTGTGAATCCGCAACAAGATTCATCTGTGTTGAGCTGAGCAACCTAGTGTTGTTCCGACCGCGAGAAAATCATTGACCCCATTCTTTGCTTTGAAGTTTGTTTGGCACAAGTGACTGATATCATACATTTGAGAAAAAATACACATACACAGTGCAAAAATATGAATCCCCAGATTTGTATTCATAAACTGATGCAGTCTTTGGATACAAGATTAAAAACTGATACAACGTGCGTGTAAGTGAAGTGATTTCAGATTTAGATGTTAAATCCCAACCCGAAAATTCCCGATTTCCCTTCACCAGGTATACGTGACAATTGGGGAAACAAAACGAGTGCGCTCTGTCGTTCAGTGTTGTGCAAACCACCAGCTTTAGGGCTCTAGTTTTTAACTATTGTGGTGCACACTGAGCATGATGATCCAGAATAACGATTCTGATGAGTGATATCGGTTGAATAACTGGATGACTCACCGTTTCTGACAAAGGTGAGCTATTCACGCGTTCCGCGCAGTGCCATTTTGTGTGTGTGTTTCGGTTAGCGTCAAAGTTGAGGCTGAACATTTTTGGCAGTAGTTGGGTTACTTTCGCTTGAACTAATATACACCAACAACACTATGTTCAGTATTACTGATATTTATCGCTTTGGGGCTGTTTCAATCCAATACGAAATTAGAATGAAGCTTCCACGTGTTGATTTGGTTCAGTCATAACGTTACAGGGAATGTACGAAACGATAGAATCAAAGTTTGTCGGATAAATTTAGTGTTAATCCCAAAAGGATTAACAGAGCCTTTAGTTCAATCACTTCAGACAATAGATTAATCAGTCAGATCTGAAAACTACGACAGATCGAGAAGGGCGCAAGTTTACAAATGTCGTCACAAGACATTTAATCAAAAGCCGCTTTAGGATAAACATGAATCCCCAATAATGATATTTGTCTATTGTATAAATTGCGCGATTTTTTTATCATGAGCCTAGGAAGGAAACACTGGTAATTCCAACTCCTCAAGGTGAGCACAAATACATTTTACAAGTGAAAACTTGTCAAACAAATTATAAGGTATGGATCTTTATGACAAAAAACAATATTGACCTTTAGAAGATACTGGAAAGACACAAGCCTTACACTTGAACTTTACTACTTTTTGGATTGTGGGAAGATCACTGACCCATGAAAAGTTCGAACCCACATATGACGGTTGACAAATTGCACCCTAATTTGACGTGGTATATATATAGCAAATTAGATGTCTGTGACATAAATAGGTATTCCAGGCACAAGTATATGAATGATGTGACAGAAGATTGTCCGATGGGCATACCCTACGAGCGATAATAACAGCCCAATCGGTCGTGAAATTCCAGGGCGATTTTGCCGAGTTATTTAAGAAAGATGCCAACTCTGTACACAACCCAAGGAACACCGGTCATCATCAGGCGTTTGATGTCTAAGTTATCCAGCAAAACGTTCCTCATGTTTAGCGAGTAAGCAACATGAAGAAGGGATCAGTTGGTGTGAAAACTCCCAATACATCAGTGGGTTATTTCTCCAGATAGTTCATTAAGTGAAAAAAAATTAAATGTCATACTTTGCACCAAATCGTCAACAGTCAATTCCCCTTTCAAATTAGCCAACTTTATGATTGCTTCCCTGCAGTCCTATTCCAAACTAAGTTTATGTTCTCTCAACCAGATTATTAACTCCGAATGGACAGCATTAAAAAAGTAGACTAACTGTATGACTGCCTACTAAGTGGCCCTAAAACGACAAATGGGTGATCACTTGCGGTTGATTACATAACATTTTACCTGATCAGTACGTCTAGTTGCACTCAAATCCGATCGTAGTAAAATAGAAACGCGTATTTGCAAACTAAATGAAAAATGGATTTAAGGTTCACGCGGGAGCAAGACAGTTTCTTTGATCAGTCCACATTCATGTAACTTTGACCATCAAAATCCTTTAACCAATAAAGTTCTTCTGCTAATCGTCTCTAAGAAAGTTAATATGAACCCTAATACCATCGCTCCCGTTTCTACTGCTTGTTTGTTAGCCCTATAACGATCGTGAGTCTCTTCCTGAAAACTGCTGTTACCTTTGCAGCATAAAAATATCTGGGGCAAAAATTGTTTTATCGCTATCCCAAATTCCTTATAAAGTTACATAAAGAATAGAGATACCATTGTCATTCTTTTGGACGTGATAAAATTCGTACAAAGGAAATGCCCATTGAATAGATCGATTGAGTGTTAAAAATCATTGTCTAAAAACTCATTTGGTTTCAGTGAAACACATCATTAAAGTCACTATGGAGCAGGTAATACAACTTGCTTCTGGAAGTCAAAAGGTAAGAGCTGACAGTCAATTCTGCAGAAGACCAAAATAAGTATAGCAATACAATTGACTCAAGAGAAGAAGTTTCGTATGAAGGCGCTTACCTTTTCCAGCATGTTGTTGTTTTGTTTCGTGGGCTGTTTTGCTATGATTTGTTGGGACAGATTTGGTTGTCGTTGATGTTAGTGTTTTTGTGTTATTATTGTTGCTGTTGTTGTTATTGTTGTCGGTATGCTCCGCTTTTGACGCTATTGATTTTCCTACGTCATTCTGACTGGTCGTGCAAATCCCGTTTGGGCAAGATGATGGCATATGGGTTCTAAACGGGAACTAATGAAGTTCTAAACGACAGGGAGAAAAATATGGGCATACGGGAATCATTCCAAAAATTAATAGAACAAACGAGTTGAAACAACAGTCCGTTGTGTAGCACATTTCTGCATTAAACTGTAACTGTATTGCTAAGGAAAAAACTACTCGGGAAGAGAAAGAAAAGGTAACGATTGATGAAAAGTTGATCGATTCGGTCTTATTTGGGAGAAAAACTAAGGTCAACTTGATCCAATTCCGACTGCTCAATTTAGTGTTGTTAGCATTTCTTTTTGGTCTGCCCTATATATAATTCATACATTTCTTAAAAAACAGTTTTACAAACCCATTTATAAAACTAGTAGAAACGGTTTAGAAAAACAATAAAGTTCCCCTGTCTTGTGTTTGATGTTTCATGCCTGTTTATTAAGAAAAGTACATGCCTTTGGGGTGAGGTCTATAAGTTATTAGTAGATACATGATTCAGTATTACATGTGGAGAATCGATAATTATTTGACTATTCCAAATACTGAAAATGATAAAAGGAAACTTGAATAAAATGGCAGTGAATGAGGGAAAACGGTTTAAAAAGAACAATTATATCTGCAACCAACGATGCTTCTTAATTTTCGGGACCCAATCCGGAAGGTGAGAAGCAATGACTGAGACCACTAATGGAGCTGACTTTTTCATAATCCAACGCTAAGCGACAGTCTGGCCACTAAACAATGTATTATGAACTAAAATGTGTTGAAATTTCCGACTCAAGACCAACTATACAGAGGGGTGAATTCGACCTTAGGGGTACGATTCAGCACAGGAGAAAATTCATTGATCAACAGATGTTCTTATTAGATACGGGCAATGTTCGGAAGACATTGGTGGTTGAATGCAAAAGTTAGATTGGCATTTTCAACGCAGAAAGTTCAAGTCTCTTATGAATGAAACCCAAACCACAAACGCCGACCCCTGCAGAAACGTCAGAGGGGTGAGAGATTGGCGTAATCTACCTAAGTTCTCACAACTTTTTCTGTTTCTTATTACCACCTGTAACTGTCATCAAGCTCCTGAGGTACTTTGAACCTTCAACTATACCTAAGTAGTCATCATTTAAAATCAGGTGCCTGAATTCGCAGTTTTTCTAGATAAAATAGTAGGACTATTTCACTGATTCTGACGATGCTTCATGAGAGTAATTGAATACGGTTGTAATTGCTGGACTTTATTGGCCAAATTCATCAGAGCTTTATTCAATTATCAAACCCGTATTTGCCACAAATAGTTGCATTGAATTATTGATGTTGTGTAATTTTGCGATCTACATGATTTGTTTGCGATCAATTCCTTCCGTCAGGGATTGACTCAAAAGATATATTGCGAGCTGATCACTCCAGCAAGTCGGTTTAGTTCAGTGTATCATGTCTAACGCTATAAGTTGAACTGTTCGATCTTTTTAATACTACAATAACTCGAGAGCAAATACTCTAAGAACTAAGTACTGATGTCTAAAGTTTCTCTCCTCTTTTTTCTTTCACTTTCACTCCCTTTCATTAGGTACATAAACAAATAATTTTCAGGAAGGGCGAAGCGGCTAATCAAAGAGCTTAAAACTACTCTGCGAATTATTTTACAGGGCTTATTACACAGACTCCGTATATCAGTAAGTGATTTCTGTCTTTCAAAATATTTGTTCTTTTGGTCATACATTTTCAGGGAGGGAAAAGTGATCGAAAAAGGGTGTATCTATTTAACAGCAATCTTTTAGATACTGCGCCAAATAACCGTAGATTGAACGTAAAATTTGGAAGCAGAAAAGGGAGGCAAAAAAAACAATCAACTTTGGGAATATTTTTTAGTTACTTGCCATTTTGACTCTGAATATTGTGATGCATCCACG